CTCCTGGACCTCCATGGAGGGGCTAACTGATTCTAGCAGGTTGCAATTACCTGCCCACAGTGTCAGATTTCCACTGCTCTGGATCACATGCTGTATCCAGCTCACTACCTCCTCACTGTGCTCCCTGAGCTATATGACTCTGGGCAAAGTTCCCGTCAGGTATGGCTGGGTTGACTGAAATATTTTTGACTCATTAGTCTATCACTTTCAGAAACTTGAACCGGCTAACAGATGAAAGAAAGTCCCCTTACCCATGGAATCTCTAAGTTCACTTTCATCCATCTTTGGAACTAGAATGAGAAACCAAGGTGGATTGCAAAAGTAAAATGAAATGAAATGAAATAAAATAAAATAATTCCTTTAATGGTCTGGATTTCTATTCTCTATATCTGGATCTTCAGGTTAATCTGAAAGTCCTAGGAAATCATCAAGTTATCTCCCCCCACCCCCAACTCCCATGAAACTCTGCTTGTACAATGCCCTGCCTCTAGAATTCTGGAATTCTGTTCGAGAATTTCCAGTGGGGAAGAGACCTGAACTGGAAGCAATATCCTGACTTGGGAGTGGAAGGGAGCAGCATCTCTTTCCTTGACTGTGCTTTCTAGCAATTATATTAAAGTTTGACATCTCCACTCTGAGTTAGGTTTGCTTAAGTAGTTCTATTTTTTCTGCAATTAATTTGTAGAATTTTTCTACTAAGAAGTCAATCTTTTTAGAAGCACTTGATGCACTGATGTTTATCATTTGTGCCTGTAATAAACATTTCTCAGTTATTGTTACAATTAGTCAGTCACTAAATTTTGTTCAATATCAAGAGTTATGAAACCCAAAGTATTAAGGCAACTGTTGAGCAAAATCAATTAAATAGTTGTCCATTTCAATACTATTATTGTTTAAATTGCAAAACTACTACACCATGCTTTAGCCACTTTGTAAGTGTTATTATTCTGCGTCATCAGCAGACAGGCTTATTAAATAATTAAATATATTTCCTTTTTGGCTTCCCCTCCCCCTAATTCCATTATTTTTCAGTACAAAATTTCAAATGAGTACTAACTTTTTAAGATGATGAACCTAAAAGCAAATGACATTAAAGATTCAAGGAAGATGTTCTTATTTAGAACACAATCACCTGTGTTCTTAACCACTAAATAGTGTTCTTAACCACTATTTTCTTTCAAATCCAACTAAAAAGAAGCAATATCTTAGTCTTCTATTCACAGATAGTATTGTTTATGCTGGGAACACAATAAAGTAATTCTTCAGATTTCCATTCAAATATAAGGTCTCAGCTTTGGAAAAGAAAGATATTATAATATTAAAAATGTTATTTTTTTCCTTCTTTAAAAGTGTTAGTCTCTCTGATTTTAAGGAATATTCTCTCATACCATTTCACAGGGCAAGGTGATGCTTGAATAGGCTTTATTAAATAAATAACTGTGTAAAATCCAGTTAATAACTTATGTCAAAAACTATAGTTTTTTTTTTTTTTTTACATTTGAGGGAATGAAAATATATCTAAGATTTATAAGAAATATTGAGCAAGACAAAACTTAAAAGCCTTAGGTAAGGATTTGGTATTGGCTTTTCATAATTTTATTTTGGAAAGAAAAGAGAACTGTAGGAAAACAATTATCTGTTAATAAGATACAATTATTTTTAAGCCCCATGATTTTAAGAATTTATGATTTTAGGTTTGTATATTCTCTATTGCCTGCTGCATTGGAAATACTTTGCTCTCTGAAGACAGCAGTGAGAGTCTAAAAGCCATAAAAGATTTTCTTTTTATAGTCCATGAAGAAACTTTTTATCTTCTTTAATCCAAAGTAACAGATACCAAATCATTAACCAACAAGACCTATTTCATTAACCTTTACATTTCAGCTGACAACAACAATTTATTTATCTGTTAAAATGCTTTCTCTTTAATAATTTCTATACAAAAATAGCCACTACTCAAAAATTCACAATTTACAATGTACAATTCCAATATTTCCTTGCTTTTTTTAAATGTAAAGAAAACCCTGGCCCTGTCTCACTAAGTTCTTTAGCTCAAGCTTGGGCATGTAAGTAAAAGTATTCATATGAAATTTAGCCTTCTCATAGTTTATTTTTCCTTTGATTAAGTGTTTTTAAAGTACACTTGATTCTGCATTTTTGAGCTACAGTCATTGAGATAACCATCCTCAAAGCCTCCTAATCTCTTCCTCAGTTAACACTAAAAGGTGTGCTTGTAGAAGGATGAGATCATGTATGTCATTTTTGTTTGCCTGGTGCTGGAGTAGCAAATAAGTTTCATTTTGGGGTTCCTTGCAAATAGATTGGTAGTGACTGCCTATAATAATATATTGAGAAACTCTTTGATGCTATGTCATCAGTGGGAAAGATTGCTGTGTTTGATTAGCAATGCCTGCCATTGGGGATGGGAGGAAAGAATAGCTCTAAGATTTTGCATTTGCTATTCCTGCCTTTATGCTTGAGGAAGTGCATGTAACAGATGATAAATGTTTTGCTAGATAGATGAGTAAATTTCTATTTTGTTTGGACAATTATCCTATGCAATAGGAAAACTCAGAGGTTTCCTTTTCATCTTGACCTTCTAGGTTTCCCTGCTACCCAGTCCAGAAACTACTCCTTGGATTAGCCAGATAAAATCAGTGGTCTGTGAGCCTCACCCAAATCAATAACTTCCAAAGTTATCAGTCTATACCATTTACTTCTCACTCATTTTATGTATTTGGCTTTAAACACTATTTGCTTTTCCTATATTGTGGAGAGTGGGGCTGTGAGATGGCAGGGTACCACAGCCCGGGGAACATTCAGGGAATGAACCCCTAATTGCTTCTCTGTTCCCAAACAGCCATATTCCTTTCCTCATGTTCCCTCTGCCAAAAGTCACATAGCTGTTTGTCTAGTTAACTACACAGAGATCTTTGTGAACTTTCCCTTCTTATTTCTTGCCATATGTTAATGAAGTTGAGTAGAAACCATTAAGTCATATAGCTCTTCCTTTGTTTTGTCAACTATGCTGAGATCCTTGTGATCTTTTCCTTCTTGCTTACTGTCATATGCTAATGAAGCTGAGTAAAAACCATTAACAAGATAATTTGCCTTTATTCAAGTCATTTACATCTTTCTATCATACTGTAAGACCAAAAATATGTCTTTTGTTTATGCTACTTCCCCATATTGTCTATGCTACTTTCTTGTAGAGAACCCTGTTGAGATACTATAAAATAAAGCTGATTTTGTGCTTTGGTGCTGGTTGCAGCCATCAGCTCAGTCAGACCTCAGAATCCCATCTTTCATTTCTGTGTCTTCCCTTACACTGTATTTCCTCATTCTTCACCAATTCCACTCTGGTTGATTCCCCTTCCCTGTGCTGGTTTGTGACATTATATATTTGAGTTAATAGTATTTATAATCTAGCCACTTTACTTTGTTGTTCATGGTTTGTCCAGGGCAAACTTATGAAGTAGGTGATGCATGTTCTGTGTGGTCCAGAGCTTAACTTTTACAAGCTATTTTCTGATTTTGTATGGCCCATCTCATAATATCAAACCCTGCTTTCAGGACAGGGTCTACTATTATATAATGCAATACTTTTAAGATAATATATTACTCTTTATAGGAGCATTTAAAAAAATTTTTAGCATTTTTTAAAAACATTCAGATTAATATGAGGTTACAGACAATTAGGTTACATAGTTTGTGTTTGTCAAGTAGGTTTCAAGTTGCAGTTGTGCCCCTCATCCAGGAGGTATGCCATGTATCCTTACATTGTGCCTCTTAGATGATAGCACATCAATCTCTCTCCCTCACCCCTTCTACCCCCCACCTCCACTTGAGTTCAACTCTGTTTTTCTCTTGTGTGGGTGTGTATTTGTTTATGTACTAGTTTCATGCTAGTGTTAAGTACATTGGATACTTGCTTTTCCATTCCTGTAATACTTTACTCAGTAGAATGTTCTCATAAGAGTATTTTATTTTTATTTTTTTCAAACTTAAATTTTGTACTTTCCAATTTATTTATTTTATTTGTTTTTTGTTTCTTTTTTCATTAGATCATAACTGTGTACATTGATGCATTTATGGGGTTCACTGTACTGACTTGATATACAATGTGAAATGCTTATATCAAACTGACACATCCATCACCTCACTTACGTATTTGTTGTGGTAAGTCATTTATACTCTTTTCTTAATAGTTTTGAAATGTACCATTGCATTATGCACATTAGGTGAGATCCCCCCAAATAACTCCCTCCTCCAAGCCTTCCTCACCCCTCCCTTATCTCTCTTCTTCCCTCCTACTTTCTGTACTATAGTTATCTTTTATCACTTGTATGAATGTGTAGGTGATTATTGATTTCATAGTAGTATTGAGTACATTGGATATGTTTTTCCCCATTCTTGAGATACTTTACTAAGAAGAATATGTTCCAGCCCCACCCAGGTAAACATAAAAGATGTGAAGTCACCATCTTTTTATGGCTGCATAGTATTCCATGTTGTACATATGCTACAATTAGTTAATCCCTTTGTGGATCAACGGCCATGTGGGCTATTTCCATGTCTTGGCAATTATGAAATGGGCTGCAATAAACATTCTGGTGCAAATGTCTTTGTTGTAAAATGATTTTTGATCATCTGGGTATATACCTAGTAGAGGAATTGCAGGATTGAATGGTAGGTCTACTTTTAGTTCCTTGAGTATTCTCCAAACTTCTTTCAAAAAAGGCCTAATATATTAGCTTACATTCCCACCAGCAGTGCAAAAGTGTTCCCTTCTGTCTACATCCACACTAACTTCTATAGTTTTGGGATTTTTTTGATGTGGTCTAATCTTACAGGAGTTAGATGATATCTCAAAGTGGTTTTTATTTACATTTCTATGATGATTAAAGATCATGAGCATTTCTTCATGTTTGTAGGTCATGTGCCAGTCTTCATCAGAGAAGTTCTGTTCAAGTCTCTTGCTCACATAGAAATGGGGTTATGTGCTTGCTTTGGCAGCATACATATTAAAATTGGAATGATACAGAGAAGATTAGCATGGTCCCTATGCAAGGATGACACACAAATTTGTGAAGCATTTCATATTTTTAAACTTTGGGGAAAAAAATGGAGTTATTTGTTTTTTTCTTATTGATTAATTTGAGTTCTCTGTGGATTCTAGTTATCAGACCTTTGTTGGAAGCATAACCTGCAAAAATCTTCTCCCATTCTGAAGGTTGTCTGTTTGCTTTACTTATTGTGCTCTTGGCTGTGCAGAAGGTTTTTAGTTTGATCAAATCCCAGTAATGTATTTTTGGTGTTGCTTCAATTGCCTGAGGGTGGGGGTCCTCCTCATAAAATATTCTCCCAGGCTTATTTTTTCAAGTGTTTTCCTTGAAAACTCTCTTCTAGTATTTTTATTGTTTCATGTCTTAAATTTAAATCTTATATCCAATGAGAATCAATTTTTGTTAATGGTGAAAAGTGGTGGTTCAGTTTCAGTCTTCTGCAGGTAGAGATCTTTTATGTCCTTTGTTAAGTAAATTTCCATTTATTTCATCTTCTTTGTCACTACTGTAACAGGAATAGAGTCTTTGTATTTTCAGCTTAACTATTATTGGCATATATAAAAGCTACTGATTTGTAAGTATTGATTTTGTATACTGAGATTCTGTTGTATTCCTTGATTACTTCTAAAAGTTTTGTAGTTGAGTCCCTAGGATTTTCCAGGTATAGGATCATATCATCTCTGAAGAGTGAAAATTTGATCTCCTTTGACCCCATTTGGGTACCAGCAATCACCTTCTCTTGCCTGATTGCGATGGCTAAGAATTCCATTACTATGGAGAAGGTGGGCATCTTTGCCTAGTTCCTGATCAGGGTGGAAATGTTTTCAATTTTACTCCATTCTATGATATTGGCTGTGAGTTTTTTGAAAAGATTAATAAAATTGATAAACCTTTGGCCAACCTAACCAGAAACAGAAAAGTAAAATCTGTAACATCATCTATCAGAAACCATAAAGGAGAAATAACAACATACCTCAGAAATTCAAAAAATCCTCAATGATTATTACAAAAAATTCTATTCTCAGAAATAAGAAAATATGAAGGAAGTGGACCAATTCTTGGAAACACACCACCTTGCTAGACTCAACTAGCAATATTTAGAAACTTATATATCAATAATTATATCAATCACTGAAATAGCATCAGCTATTACAAAATCTCCCCCAAAAGAAAAGTCCTAGACCAGATGGTTTCATATCAGAATTCTACCAAACCTTTAAAGAGGAACTAGTACCTATATTATACAACTTTTTCCAAAGCATAGAAAAAGAAGGAATACTTCCCCAACACATTCTGTGAAGCAAATATCACCCTGATTCTCAAATCAGGAAAAGATCCAACAAAGAAAGAAAATTATAGACCAATATTATTAATAAATATCAATGCAAAAATATTTAATAAGATCTTAGCAAACAGAATTCAACAACACATCCAAAAAATCATACACCATGATCAACTTGATTTTATTCCAGGGTTACAAGGTTGGTTCAATATATGTAAATCTATAAATATTATACATCACATAAATAAAATAAAAAACAAAGACTACATAATTCTCCTAATTGATGTAGAAAATTTTTAAAATAATATCCAGCATTCTTTCATAATCAGAACACTTAAGAAAATAGGTTTAGATGGGTTTTCAATTTTATTCCATCCAATATGATATTGGCTGTGGGTTTGCTGTAGATGGCCTCTATCAGTTTAAGAAACGACACATCTAAGTTAAGCGGCTTTCTACATCAATCTTAATTTACCATTACAGTGCTAAATTTGATTTATATTCTTACCTCAAATTTTAACTTCTGACATCTTAAGTAAAAAAATTCTGACATGTCAAGTATATAAAGTTTTGACATCTCGCATGTTAACAAATTTGTTGGAATATTAGTTATACTGGCACCTTAAGATGATCTGCTGCTGACACAAGATGGGATGAAACAAGATTATCACAATATTGTTGTGCTAGTCTAGTTAACCCTTTCTTCAGATTGATGCTTAGAGTGATTATTCATTTAATATTTTTATACCTAGCCACTTTGTGGCTGATCAGGACAGTAAGCAGTTTGCCATTTGAATTAGAAAAGTTACTGTATTCTGTTTTTCTACAGAAAATCTCAGTATTAAGAAATCCATAATATTTATCAAACATCCCTGAATGAAAAAACAAACCAAAAGTTTTTGTTTAGATGGTGAAAAGCACAAAAAATCAAAGAGTAAATTACTTTAAATTGGTATCTTTCAACTATAATTTCACTGAAATTGTTGTTTGGAGCATTTTCGTGTCACATTCTTCAAACTTATTTTTTCTTTATAATCGTTTTTAAACAGTTAGCAGTTATTTGATATTTTTCAAATATGAGTTGTTTTGTGCACAAACACAATTGTCTATCACTGGACATGTTATAGGAAAGCCTCAGAATGATAAGTTTATTTTAACCATTCTGTATTTTTGTGATAGTATAAATAAAAACCATTTTTGAAACCTGCTCTGAAAACTTCTATAATATTTTGAAATTTTAAATTAAAAAATTTCAAATTGTTACATGCATAATTAAAATGTTTTAAATGTTTTCATACGAATAGAGTTGTAACCGTTTTCTCTCTATCATACATCAATCATAAACAGAAACTATATGAATATAACATTAATTCTGGGAACTGAATTAATTATTATGACTGTCACTTTAATTGACAGCATAAATTATAAGGTTCAGTACGAGAGAGGAGAAAGTGCAAGTGTTCTGGGTTCAGGCAGATCTAGGTTGAATTTCTGCCACTTACTAGCGTCATGACCTTGAGAAAGTTATTTAAATTCTCTGAATCTGGTTTTTTATCTATAAAGGGTGGATTCATAATAATACATATAAATAATACCTAGTGCTCAATTGTAATCACAACATATATAACTTAACATATGTAAGTTGTGTCATGTGAGAGATGCTTACATTTAATAAATTTGAAGATTTTTTCCCCTTATTTTTTAGAAGAGTCTGGAAGAATGGTGGTGTTAGGAAGAATTTTGTGTGTGTATATAGTGTCAGCCAGCTCTTGTCATAATATTGGTATGTAACAAATCACCTCAAAATGCAATGACTGGCAACAGTGGGAATTTATTGCCATTCTTTATGGTCTTTAGGTCAATAGATATATCTGATTTAGAAAGAAGCTCATTTGATTTAGTTGGGAGAGTAAGTTGGGCTGTGCATTGGGTTCCAGTCTGCTTAATGTGTCCTTGCTCCAGTGGTAAGTTGGGAATAGAATCTACATGGGGGGAACTCTTATCATGATGGAGCTGCAGGTACAAAATGCTATCCAAGCCATGTAAGCACAGCTGCTAATTCTTCATTCCAAAGCAAGTGATAAGACCAAATGGAGAAGAAAAATATACTCATGATGGGTTGGTTAGGAGAATAGCAAATATTTATGAAGTGATTAAATTTTGGAGTATAGGGCATAGAGGGAAGAATGAAAGCAGCTTAAGTCATAGAATAGAAGAACCAAACAGAGAGTATTGCTAGACTTTAGTCATAGTGCAGAAGAAAGTGAATGAGATGAGGAATAGAAGGAAGAAAAAGAGGAAAGGAAAAGACAAGACACTTGTGAGTACTGAAATATAGCAACACTAAAGGTAGGCATTCCAAAGAAAAGTAATTTTAAAAGCAGCAGTTAGTTTTTGAACATGGTATGTGTATTTAGCTATTATTACAAACAGAGACAGGCAGGATAAAGTTATGTGTGTTAAAATTGACTTTGTATTCAACATTCAGACTTATCCAGGCACAAGTTAGTTACTTTTGCGTCATCTCTGAGAAAGACATATTATGCATGCTACAAAAATATATGGTGAATTGAAAGGCAAGAAAGTGATGAGTTTACATGAAATAAATTATTTCCACAAAATATCAAAACCATTTTGGCAATATCTGTTTACATAAAACAGTTCGAATCCAGCCTGGGCCTGCCAAACAATGATTGCTGCAAACAAAGAATAGCTAGGCGTTGTGGCAGGTGACTGTACACTGCTACTTGGGAGGCAGAGGCAAGAGAATCTCTTGAGCCCAGGAGTTGGAGGTTACTGTGAGCTGTGATACCACAGCACCCTACCCAAGGCAATAGCTTGAGGCTCTGTCTCAAAAAAAAAAAAAAAGATATGCTTATTAATTAAACAGATATTATTAATTAAACATTATTAATTAAAACAGATGTATCTGGGGTGGTGCCTGTAGCTCAGTGGGTAGGGTGCTGGCCACATAAACCCAGGCTGGTGAGTTCGAACCTAGCCTGAGCCAGCTAATATTAATAATGACAACTGCAGCAACAAAAAATAAAATTGATTAATTAATTGATTAAAAAACAGATATATCTGAACATTCATTCTTTAATAAAATATGAGCCTTAGTTTTGTTTTGTTTTTTAATTTTTTATTTTTTTTAGAGACAGAATTTCACTTTGTTGTCCTCAGTAGAGTATTATGGCATCACAGCTCACAGCAACCTCCAGCTCCTGGGCTTAGGCAATTCTCTTGCCTCAGTCTCTTCAGAGGCTGGGACTACAGACACCTGCCACAATGCCTGGCTATTTTTTTGTTGCAGTTTGGCCGGGGCTGGGTTTGAACCCACCACACTTGGTATATGGGGCCAGCATCCTACTCACTGAGCCACAGGTGCCGCCTGAGCCTTAGTTTTGTTAATGTGTATGTTGAAAAGTTTTTTCTTAAAAACCCTAATGCAAAAATATTTATTAATTTACTTTCTATAAACTCAGATTTTTTCTCCCAAATAGACAAGATTAATATAATGTTATAGTAAAAAACTACAATTAACTTTCATTTATGTGTTCAATCAACAAATTGTCTACACACTGAAAATACAAAGATGAATTTAACAAGGATTCTAGTTTTAAAGAGAAAAACATAAAATATAATTTTATTTATTTATTTTTTAAAATTTCAGATTAATATAAGGGTATATATGATTAGGTTACATTGTTTGCATTTGTTAGGTATGGTCCAGGTTATAGTTCAGCCCTTCACCCAGGA